TGCTTTTCAGTCTGTTCATGCCATGAGTTAGAGTCTTGCTTTTTTATAGTCCTGTTCAGCATTGGAGGGGACCTGAACCTTATGCCCCTACCCTACAAATACACACACACACACACCCACACACACCTGCCTGTACATTCATGCCACTCTAACACTATAGTGTGGCGCAGTATTCAGGTCATGCAGCATGTGCGGGGTCCATGGCCCTCTCCAGTGACACAAAATAAAATTAAATACTGGGTTGTGTGTTATAGAGGAACAGTACACACTGCCACCTCCAGACAACCAGTCCTCGAGGACAAGCAGACAGATGTAGCAACAGCCTGACAGACAGAGTGGTGCCAGGATAAAACTCCACCCTCTTTGGCACAACAGAAGGAGGACAGGACCGTCACACTCAATGTGTAGAGCGGGATAACCTTGTTATATGGCTCAGCTATACGAATGACTTGGAGATCACATGGAGCCAGAACAAATCAGTACATCCAAACACACACAAAACACACATTTATATTCCATAAATGTAGGGTGTGAGCACATGGTTTACCTGGAGGTCATTCAGAAAGCAGCTATGAGTGGTAAGAAAACAGCTCCAGGTCTATTATCTGACTTCCAACCCCTATTCTACCATGGCTGGTGCTCAGAATATGTCATATGTCTGTGTCACTGCCATCAGACAGACTGTTTGACAAACACATTTATTGTTTGATGCCTAAATATTTTCTTGTCACATGTTTCTGCCAGAGCATTAGACTTAACACTTGAACCTGAATCAGACTTGGATTTAATAAAACACCTTATGTATTATTTAGCCTACAAACCTGTGGCTGAATAAAGTAAATAAATGAACAGAATATAACAAGAACTTGAAGGTTCCTGCTTTTGGATGACCATACATATTTTCAAAAGTTTAAAAGTATTGTAGCAATAATTCTGAAACGTAGCGTGTTATTCATGGCCAGTTATAGTGCAGATAGAACACATGATAGACCAGACAGCAGCAGTGCATATCCAGGGATGGATCTAGAAAAATATTCATGGGGTGTCAGAAGGGTGGCATGGAGACAGAAATATATGCTGATTTAATTGCAAACAATCACGTATATCAATGTTTTCTTGGAAAAGCCCCAAATGAAGATATTTTAACTCAAAAACCTAAAATTATTGTGCCACATTAGAAAAGCCTTGTATAGAAACATCTAACATTGTTATATTTACAATTTTTATTTTCCTAAATATATGTCTTTTTGAACTTGAGCCTATTATTTATTCTAAAATTTGACCATAACAGATCATTAAATTGAATTTATTTTGGTAACACTTGAAAAAATTAAAATAAAATAAAAAATCAAGATTCATCAGCTGACCTTACCAGCCATTTTTTTAGAGGTGGCAGCTGCCACCCATTTCCACCACTCTAGATCCCCTCCTATGTATATCCTAGACCGTGCATCCATGAACCTACCACACCATGATACTAGCCAAGTTTAACCAATGTGCTTACAGGTTTATTTTGCCTAACACTATTGCATAAATACAGTATGTGATGATGTTCTTGTGAAATGTTTGCAGTAGTAACAAATAGTGCACATTTAGTGTCTGAATAAATCATTGTCTGTTCTGAAGCTGTGTATGTAATATTTGCCACCTTTTGGTTGGCTATGGGCCACTTGAGAAATGTAGGCACATATTTATTGAGCCCTGGTCAATGGTCATCTCTGAAGGAGCTATAGGTATGAGATTATTTGTGTAAGAAGTATATCAGGTGAACATGTGTGTACTGTACTTCTGTGTTTTCTGTTTCCCAAATGGAAAAAAAAAATATAAGCATATTCATTTTGATATAAACTGTTTTTAAGAAGCCCATTAATAAGCATTAAAGACACTTTTTCAAATAAAATCAGTAAAAGCTTTAAGAACTTAGACAACTTGGACTCCAAACAAGTACTGCTTCCAGCATCCTATTTACACTCAAGTCATGATGTTCTGTCATTTTTAATGAGTTCACAGCAGAAAACAAATACTGAGCTAACATAAAATGTTCCTTTGGCTGCCTGTGAGGAAACAATGATGGTGTGTTAGCCTTTAAATCAGCTGAGTTGGCTGACCTTTTGGGCTGTTCAACAGATACATGGAACCACTTAGCATAAAGTGTTGTGAATTAGTCTGTTTTCTATTTTTTCTTTATTCAGTTTTTTGTTCAGGCTATTTATAACAGTTGTCCTCTTTAGTTACAGAAGAAAACTGCATTACACACTGCTTTTTTTCTACATCTGTAGGGAGGACTGGATGGAAATCATACTGAAAATCTGATGTCACATGGAGGCAGTGCCCACATGAGAGTCAGGAAAAGGGGCTTTATGAAGGAAAAAGCAGAACTAGCAAAAACACACTGGAGAAAAGCAGCTTATCACTTCTCTCTCTCTCTCTTCTTATTTTCTACTCATTCTCCCGGTTCCCATGGTAGTGTTTGCATGAGCACCTGACTCACGGCAGCTCTCTGGGCTGTGGGGGAGTTATCAGTGAGCCGAGCCAGATGCCCTCTCTCTAGGTAGCTGGCTACATACTGTACCTCTTCTGCCTCTTCCCACACAAACTGTCCACTGGGCTCCTAACACAGACACAGCATAGAGCCACATTGTGCGTCTTCATTTTTTTTTAACAATGCTGAGAAAAAAGGAGACTTAAGGTGTCTTCAATAGATCTCTGGGTACCTGACATCATCCATTCAGTGATTCGAGGTAGAAAGCTGACACCAGCAATGGCTCTTCAGCTTTTTTTAGGCACCTAAAATAAAAGTGTTTCTGCTCCTGATCCCCTTAGTGCAAACCTCACTTGTATATGAGATGTGTTCTTTTCACTTTCAATGTATTTTTATTTTTCAGCCTGTTATAAAATGCAGTACAAACCTAATACACTTGTGCTGTGTTGATGTGCAGATTCTGCAAAATCATTACGTGATCAGAGGATCATGACTTCCAAGTAGAAAACAACTGCCTCAAAGTAAGATGTTGAGAGCAGATGGTGTAATGAGATATATCGTAATAACAATCACACGGTCAGAGCTTCTGCCTGCATAAGACTGCACTTACACAGTGGCACAGCAATCATCATGGACCATGTATTTTTCTATGAAATTGCTGCATTGTAAAATTACAACCAGTGCAGTCATTCGAAGTGTACTGGGGGTCTGCCTAAAAGTTCAAAGCTATGCATTTCAAATGAATCTTATTGTATAGTGCATCCATGGGATCATTTGGTAGCATACACCATAGCATGGATAAATGTCCTTATAGGGCTCAGTTGGTCCACCATAGTAGGATTAGTGCCACAGTTAGGAGTTTAATTCACACGGGAGACACCCAGGCTAAAAAAATATATACTCACTGTACTATCAGATGCTTTGGCTAACAATATTGTACATAACATGTTCGTTCTGTAGCATACTGAAGCACACTCTGGACCTAGGGGTTCAAAGGTGTGCTTACAGTACAACAGATTCCTCCTGAAAAGTCTGACCTGATTTTCATTTGTCATATAAACAGCCCGCAGATTCAAACAAGTCCTGTTCAATGACGTAACTCCCTGTTGTGTAAGGGAAGTGAACATGGTCCACAAGTGTGAAGTGATGGGGCTCTTTCTTCAACACTTCCACAGCGTTGTTGGGAAAACAAATGCAAATCAACTGTCAATCTGATTACATGTATTCTGAAGAGACGATGCTGGTAAGATGGTTTAGGTTTTTGTACACATGAGGAGAAACATGGAATAATATGGAACTTGTGTGCTTTTTTAAACATGTTTGAATGCATGACGAGGGGGTGAAAATTGATGGTTTTACAGTATGAGACAATACCCCCTCCACACATAATGGATGGCTCTCAGAGCTGAAATGATGAGCTTCAAGTGGGCTGAAAAGGATGTTTTGTTTTCTGTCAGATTGGGTTTCAGTGGCAAGAAAATCAGTTAGCGCCAACAATTGACAATTCTAGTGAACTGAATATGAGGGTAGGCGTATGACTGTGGTCTCTACCATGCTGCAAACAGGACTGTCCTCCATATCAGCAATATGCAGGCAAACCACACAGATTTGGGCAGAACAGAACACACAGCTGTGCTAATGAACAATAGTAGAATTATTACATGGTAGTAAAAACCCTTCATAGTTGCTGTAGTGAAATGGCTTATTCTAGTATAGTAGCAGACACCAGCACAGCACAGCTGTGTACAAAGTACAAATCTGTACAAAGTACCTTCCTCACAGCCTGACCTTGAAGAGATCTGCATCATTATTCAAAACACTGCACTCAAGTGTGCATCACTTGAGATTTGACCTAAAATATCACATTCACACCAGTAAAACAGGAATGTGGTTCAATATAAGTAAGCTTCCACTATTATTAATACAGGAGTAGTAGTAGTAGTATAAATGATTCACTTTACATCCCTATGATTGAAGGCACAATACATATCTACCTACATTCTGAGCTCAGTTGATGAACTGGACCCTGTCACAGCTGATGTTGTACCACCATATAAGCCTAGTTTATAAATGCCAAGGGCACAAGTCCATTCACCTCAACTCTAATAGAGAGCCGTGCCTACAGAGAGTAACCATCACTAACATCTGTCGCTAGTGGCACATGCATGTGAGTCAATCTCAGTTCTTCCATATGTTCATACTGTACGTTTTCCCTAACGTGTGCTGGTGCTAGTTTTGTTGTTACCATTACCTCCAGGCACTTTAAGATGGGCTGCTGCATGACTGCACCATGTGCAGTGCAGTAGAGTGCGTACTGTATAGTATGCATGCAGTAGAGGCTCTCTGCCATCTAGTGGTGATAGTGATATTATTAACGACTCAATGCAGGTTCAATCAGGACTGCTGCAAATAAGATGATTTCCATACAATACACAAGTCTGTTCAATAATGTATGTGGTCAATAAATGACAAAACATTTTAATTATATGGATGTTAAATGAGAATCAAATGAGATTAATTTTGATTTACTCTTTATTAAATTTTTATTTAATTCTGTACAATAAAAAATATCCAGTGGTACCATTTACCAGTAAAGTTTTGAAAAACAAAAAGATTAAATAAATTAAAAAACAAAGACAACTGATGTGAATTAAAACAATGAGCAAAATACAAGTAGTATTTCCAGTCCAAGAAATCTAAAAGTAACGTCACCCTAATCCAGCTAACTGTGTAAATCAGGTTTGTAATCAGTCATTTTCCTTTCATTGAAACTAAAAGACATTAAAAGTACAGTTCTCAAAAAATCCCCATAGATTCTAACACACTCTTTACCTTAAAGCTGATTTTTAGTTCATAAGAAAAAACTGAATTTATAAAACTGAAAATGAATCTCAAACCACGGTGAGTGTTTACAGCAAGAAATAATCCGGGTTGATTAGTTTTACAGCTCAGTGATAGGCATGGAATCTCTGGACAGAAAACAAAAAACATTCGAGCTGTAGATCTGAAATGCCTAATTCCTACAATGTGGCATTCATAAACTCACATTATCACAGCCCTAAAAACAACATCAGAGCATTGGAACTATCCAATATCCCACACAATCTGATGTAACTGGGTCACCATGTGAACAGTTAGTGTAAACTAAGTTTTAGTCATGATTCAAAACCCAGAAATGTTACACACCTTTAATTGTTATGCAAAGTGCTTAGCCAAGGTTATTCTACATGCCAAATCGAAGAAAAGCTGTTTAAAAAGCAGTTAAATCACTTTTCAGGTCTTTTAGTTGTACAGAATATAAGGTGCCAAGGAAATAAACATTCATCAGAGCTTGATCTATGACACTTATGATTTAATGCACCAACAAAATGTCTTGTATCTCACTGCAGAAGGCACATTAGGATGTAATCTGGATCGGGTGACCCGTCCAAATTCAAATATGATTTGGTGTTTAGTATTTTTTGGGATAAAATCGTCTGGAAAATTGTGTGTATCATAAATGTGGGTGCAGGTATAAAATGGCTCCTGAATCCTCCAGTCTTTTTAAGGCTTCAGCTTCATGATTGAGGTCATGGTAGGAATTCTGCAACAGAGAGAATAGGGAGCATCAATATCCAGAGAATTAAACTTTATCAGAGTGTATGTTATACCACAGAGGACATTTTAAGTACTCTAGATGACTGCTACCCACCTTCATAGACTTCATGGTGTCATATCCATAGTAATGGATAGGGTGCCTTTGGCTCTTTGAGTTAGGGTATCCAAAACCGGCTATGTGGACCACATCACAGTAGTTGAGAGCAACAAACACAGCAAGGATACCCGTGGTAGGATGCACCGGCTTCTGGAACAAACAAAACTTAATGACAGCCTACTGCAATAATTTAGTGTCTCCGGACAAACTTTTTAAATCCCCCATGTGTAAGATTGGAAAATTTCAGACATGAGCTTTCAGACATTGAAACTGCACCAAATTCCACTGGGAATTTGTCATTTTTCTACAAACAAAACAATATGCCACCAGAATCACATAAAAATATACTCACAGGGGCTTTATCATTTTGAAAACTACAGGCATATTAAGCAGCTATGCTGTGATATTAAATACAGGGTGTGCTAAAATCTACATGCACTCACACAACCTTTGCTAGACAAATAAAAGAAATTAGCATTTATGTTAAAAAGGCAAAATGCTTTTTCTTGCATTGTGCATCTGTTGTGTAGTGAAAGCTAGAGTCCAGTGTTTCACGCTCTTGAAGCCGGCAGGTTTAATACGACTCAACTACAGCCTCCCATTTCACCACTAGATGGTAACAGAGGGCAACAGAAACTGCTGCTTTTTACCTTTCCTTGTAGTTAATCAAACACAAGCCTTTTCCATGTTCCAGATTACTATCCAATAAGCTCAACATTAATTGTCATGAACCTCCTGTAACTTACGACATCTAGCTCTTGAGCTTGAATGCATCTCTTTTAAATCGCTTTTAGAATCTACAAAATGAATCTCATGTAATCTGAAACATGTAATGGGGTGTGAGCTTCTAGCAAAACAAAAGAAACTCAACATTTATCAAACTAGTGGGCTCAACCTTGTGAGGTAGACCTATTCAAATTATTTAATATAATCCTCATATTTTAATCTTTTAGCTGCTGACCCCTCTACACTAACCCTCCCCTACTAAACCCTCACCCCTTATGTACATACTCATGATCAAAATGTAATGCCTTGCAGCTCAGGGACAACTTGTGAGCACTTTGCTGTTTTAATGCAGCCACTGCTGATCTGTGCACCACAGTGGTATCATCATTTACACAGCACTACCTGTACCCGGAAGGTCTTACTTGCATTACAGAAGCGTTACTTGCACATTAGCAAGTCTCACCCTGCAAACTTGATTGATTCCAGAAGCTTACTCACTACTTTGATGCCAGTAAGTTCAGTGTAATTTTCCATTTCAGGGTTTTTGAGCAAAATCCTTGAGAAATGATGATAATATGGATTACCCTGCCCTTACTGAAAGGAGTCTGAGACTCACAAAAGAACCGCAGCTGTTTTGCTCTGTTTGATTCAGTTTTTTTTTTAGGGGGGGTATGTTGGCTTTATCCATGGCAAATACAGTATGTGTCCAATGTGACAGTTCTTCTTCATCAATGGATGGAACAAACACATTTCACAGCTAAAACTACATCTCTGACAAGGAATTGCGAGGTACATTTTGATAACAATTTTAATTCTCTAAACCAAGACTCAAGTGATCTTCAACCACCTTCAACACTGAAATTGATTGGTTTACATTTGTTTCGATAAGTTAAATCTGAGGATGAGCCCTTTGAGATGTGCATCTCATTTTCAACGGGGGACTCACACAAAACACAGACACACAATCCCGGACACACTGATACTCTCAGTTGACTCTGATTTGACTTGTTGCTTTTTGAAGAACTAAGGCTGCTGCTTTTGCTACATATGAGCAGTATTCACCCCCTTTGCTAATTACAATAAAGTAGTCAATATTAAGCAGAAGCACTTTGGGCACCACTGACCGCCTAGAGTTGATGAAGGGAGGTCTGGGCATCTGGACAGTGATTTTTTCCCCCCCATCGTTCATACAAACAGGTGATCTGTATTTAATTTATAATGTCAAACCTAGTACACCAGTGATGACTTATGGTGTGACATGGTGAAGGGGTGAATTCAATGTTATTAAAACAATTTTGTCCAAGAGGAGGAGTGAATTATTTATTCATTTATTGGTACTGTGGTAATGTTAGCTGGTCGCACTATTGCACAACATCATACGAACTCTCTTCCGAAAGGATTAATCGGAATAGCAATATAAAGGCATAATATACAACCCTCCAAATTAAAGGGCATCCTGGAATTGTGAATACCCCGATTTGATTCCAGCTGGGGGCCTTTGTCATCCTCCTCTGCCTGTATCCAATGTTCCATGTCTTTGTCAAAATGCTTTTTTTCTAATTGCAATGTCCTGTGTAGCCCTACACAAAAGAAATCTTTGTCCTAAAAATAGTGCTAAAATACATTTTTTTTCTGCAGCTTCCTTGCCTGCCACTTGTGATCTACCTTTGCAAAAACAGAACAAATAAAACAAAGTGACATTATCTGACCTCTCTGACATCATTTTGGAAACAAAAGTAATGTGAGATTTAATGAGTTGAGACGTATTTTGTTGTGTTGTTCCTGGTGGGCTCTTACTGTACACAGAGATTTCCCTCTGTTGTTTGCCATTTCCCATATGACTCTGTCAATGATTATCCATGTTCACAGAGGCAAGAAGAAGAATTATTTCCACATGACCGTGAGACAGAAGAAACTTTTCACTTTTCCATTCCCTCTCCAGAATGCTGCACTTTCCCAACCACCCTGTCAAACGTCTCTCCTCTACAGCTTTCCATGCAATCAACTAGTTTCCTCTGCGACAGCCCTGCAAAGAAATTTCTGTCGCATGTACGTACGTTTACAATGGCCTTCCACATTTCCTCTTCCTAAAGCTCAGTAATTAACACATTGTATCTCATTTGTTGAATCTGTTGTTGTCGTTTTGCAGGACATTACGTGCAAGGTCACTGTAGGCAAATGTAACCTTTGAACAGAGCCAGGCTAGCTGTTTCCCCTTGTTTCTTGTCTTTATGCTAAGCTAAGCTTAACTAAAACTGGCTTCTGGCTGAACAGTAGCTTCATATTAACAGACAGATATGAGAGTGGTATCAGTCTTCTTATCGAATTCTCAGCAAGAAAGCAAATAAGTGTATTTCCCCAAATATCAAACTATTGCTTTAGGCCTTGCTGACAAGAAACTCTATATTCTGGAATGTGTACATTTAGGCAAGCATATAAAGGTGTGTGTGTGCGTGTATGTGTGCGCATTGTGCTTGGTATTTTGGCATACGGGTGTATCTGTCATGCCTAAAACCGCATTTGAATAGACATTTTCAGCATCCTACTTGAAACAGAAATATCCGCAGTGTTGTAAATATGCAAATAACAATTATTAAACTTTTTTTTTTTTTCATTTTTGATGAGTATTTTAAACCTTGGATAGCAGCCTTTGCCATCAGTGTATGAACGTGTGCGAATGGGTGTATGGGGCATGTAGTGTAAAGCGCTTTGAGAGGTCAAAAGCGCTGATTCCATTTACCATTTGATAAGAAACTGAAACAAAACTTCTTCCCTGCACTCTTCTTTCCTCTCTAAAACATTACACCAGATCAATTCGCTATTGCACCGAGCAGGACTTTTTTTTCTTTAATTCACCCCGCAATGCGACACAGCTGACATTCTGTGTGTATTAGCCTCATGTGGTCGCCAGCACA